GCAAATGAAATTACGGACGTTTTAAAGGAGAAAAGAACCCTGGGCTTGAAATGGAGTCGTCCAGACTGAGAGAACGTCCTTGCCTGTGGTCTCACACGTGCCTGAGGGAGGCGGAGGGTTTCAATTCTTAGGTATCACCCTATGAAAGCCTGGAATGGCCATTGCCTAGCCCATCTCTTCAAAACAGCCACTTGGCTCTTTCTTTTCTTGTCTTCTTCTTTTTCTTTCTTTTTTTTAAGTTCCCAGTTTATCCTTAATGTTTTTCAAAAATGAAGAAATACTTTTTCAAAAATGAAGAAATATTTTCCCCTTTCATTATTTCAAATAATAGTGCTGTCCAATCGTCAGTTCCAAATTCCATAAAGCCCTCATGCATTATTCCCCATTCGTTATTCAAATGCCCAATTTGTTGAGTAGACCACATGAACTGTCTAAAACAGTGGTTCTCAACCTTCCTAATGCCGTGACCCTTTCATATAGTTCCTCATGTTGTGGTGGCCCCAAACCGTAAAATGATTTTCATTGCTACTTCACAACTGCAATTTTGCTACTGTTATGAATCGGGTGACCCCCAAAGGGGTCACGACCCACAGGTTGAGAACGGCTGGTCTAAAAGCTTCTGGTATCCTACTCCTGTAACTACTTAGAGTGGTAAGGAGCGAGGACCAGGAGCAGAGCCCGGGGTGTCCTGGCGAGCAATGGCAGCAGGAGCTGGCTCCACTCTGCTCTTCTGCCACTGGGAGGATGGGGATGCTAGCTGCCCTGCCTTTCACACATGTGCTTTCCTGGCTCCCCTCAGCCTCAGGCCTTGCTTCCTGCCGCCACCCCACTGTTAGTTCAGTCCGCTCTCGGGTCATTCAGGTGCCTGAAACCCTGGAGCGGTTGCATTGTGGGGAACTGGAGGAAATTACTGACTATCCTCAGCTAGTTCAGGCTAAGCTTGGCAACATACTTCATTCTGCTTTTTCCCCCTTACCTAGCTCTGAATTTCCTGTTGTCACGGTGTCCTGGCAACCATGTTTGGAGCTTTCCTGAAATTATCTGCACCGCTTGGATCAAAACTCCTTGATTTAACTTGATGCAACATTCTACAGCTAAAGAATGACCTGCTCAGGGGAGGTTAAAGGTATCATTACTATCCCATTTCCTGGTCAGAGAAAGAAGCTGGGTAACAACCGCATGACTTCTGGTTGGCCGATTCAAATTCTGAGCTCTATAAAGTGTTGTTTACTGTCTCCCCTTGAGTTTCTAATGGGGAAAAAAACCAACAGCATGCTCCATTTTCCACTGATCAGATCACAGCTGCTCCATTCTGAATAGCCATTGGGTGTCACAGTGTGGCCTAACCAAAGCCAATAGAGTTGATTGGTGAGGACAACAGCAACAGAAAATGGAAAATGGCAAGCAAGGCCCTGGCCCTAAGCTGCCGGGCCCGTGTTCAGACCACCGTTGGCGCTCCCTGTACTGATGTGCGAGGGCCTTCAGGAATCCTGGCCGCGTTGTCATCATCTGGTGTTTAGCACCTACCATGTCAAAGCATTATTTGGAGGAAGTATTTGTGCCCACTGGCTTAGAGGGACTCAGTCCTGGTTACTTGCCGACAATCCTAATGGCCAAGCTTGCACTGGTGATTGGTCTGAGGAGTTCGCTCCTCCAGCGCACTGGCACCTCCTGTGGAAGACGCCGCACTGCACCTGCTTTGCGAAATGTCAGAGGCAGGAGACAGCTCACGTTCTCTTTTACAATAATTCAGGGAAGCGATTATTTAATGGAATCACAGACCAAACTCAATTTAGACAAATAGCAAGCAAGCCTTAAAATTCTTTGAGAACTGATTCTCGTGGTTGACTTTTGAAAAAAGAGGCTTGGAGCAAAGAAGATTTTTTTATAAAAACTCGTCTTTAATAAACGAGCACTGCGGCCAAAGAGGCCCTGGTGGCACAGGGCTCAGCGCACTGACCAAAAACGCTGGTAGTTTGAACCTACCAGTCATGCCACAAGAGAAAGATGTGGCAGTCAGCCTCCATCAAAGTGACAGCCTTGGAAGGCTATGGGGCAGTTCCGCTCTGTCCTATCGGGCCGCTGTGAGTTGGAAGGAGGGCCCTGGTGGCCCAGTAGGTTACACGCTGGGCTGATGAGAAGTTGGTGGTTGGAACCCACCAGCTGCTCCAAGGGAGAAAGACAGAGCAGGCGGCCTCGTATAGATTCACAGCCTTAGAAACTCTCAGGAGCAGTGCTACTCTGCCCCATGCGGTAGCGGCAGAACCGACAGAAGGCAGCGGGTGTTTGAGTGAGCATGAACTCAACAGCAAGAGACCGAGATGCACAGCCTCAGGCCTTCCATCAAGTAGTACTCTGAAGCAGACAGCAACACCTCACTTCCCCTCTTCTCTAAGAGAGCATTGTCAACACCCCCACCAAGGCACGTTCTCTTCTTTATAAAGGTAACTGAAGAGTTTCTTCTTCTTGGGATATGCTAATATGTCATTCAACGAGGTCCCATACGCTGAGGACTGAGCTCTACCTGACTGCTGGCCTGATCCTGGGAGCTGCACTTTGAAAGTGGGTGTTTCAGCATGGAATGGCCTTGCTACCAGTGGCCCACAGCAAGGGGATTTGTGAGGACTCCAGGCTACAGCCCACCTACAGGGGGGCCCCAATGTTACAGACATCCAGACCTACCAAAAGTGACCCTAAAATCTTTCCACCTGGACGTTGCTGCCTAAACAAGGTTTGACCGAATTTGAACTGAGGCCCCATTTACTCTAACGGATTTGAACTAAGGCCCCTTTTACTCCAATGGATTTTACAGGGAGCACCAAGGGTCTGAACATGGTATCCTAATACCATGGGACTTCAAAATGTTTGTGAGGGGAAATCCATTATCTATCAATTTCCTTTTTCCGACAAACTTGGTGAATAAGGGGGCCCTGCCTTATTGCGGTATAATGGTGAGTACAAAGGGTGGTGCAAATGGTGAGGTACTGACCTACTAGCCAAACGTTTGGTGGTTCAAGCCCATCCAGGGGGACCTTGGAAGGCCTGGCAAGCAGCTTCTGAAAGGTCACGGCCTTGAAAACCATGTGGCTCAGTTCAACTCAGTGGACACGGGCTTGCTGTGCCAGGCTCAACCGGACAGCAGCTAGCAGCGAGCACCAGCAGCACCAGGCTCCGGACACACGGCCAGTCTCACGGGCACAGAGAGAAGGCCGCCAGGAGTTGTGCTCCGTGCTGCATTTGCACTCTGCTAGGGCAAACCTGAAAATGTCCGAGTTCTCCTGGAGAACAAGCAGCTCTTGTATTTATGACAGCAAGAAATGAAAGACAGAGGATTGAAAGCACTAGTTACACATTCAAGGAAAACATGAAAACATCTACTATGTACACAAAAGCTACTGTTGAAGTTCTGCTTGAGGGTAAATCAAACAAGAGTTATTGTCTGAAACAATATTTAAATATTAATCAAAATGTTTTCATTCTTTTAAATTATTTCTATAGTATCCTCCTTTTTCTTCTTCCTCTTGTTTAAAAAGAAAAAAGGCTACATTAGATTTATGGTCATATTTCCTGGTAATATACTAATATCACAAACACACACATACACACACACACACACACACACACACACGTGTAATCTTTTTCTTTGTCTATCAAATTGACATCCCCAAACTTCCTCATTCCTGGCAAAATTATCCAGAACCCATAAATCCTCAAATACAAAAAGCATTTATTTCATTTTCACTCTGATCAAAAGATGTTGGCTTCTTTCCCCTGAATAAAAAGTTTCCATAAGTTCTTTGTTTTCATAAAGCATACTTTATGAACAAACTCTAGAAGTGTGTGTGTGTGTGTGTGTGTGTACATACACAGAAATGCCTTTAAATGAAATAATTATTTTAAGCTATTAATGTTAAGATGTGAAGTCAATATTTATAGTTGGAGTGGGGAGGGAGAGTCTTACCTAAGAAGAAAAAACTGAATTTTCATTCAATCTTTTGTAAGAAAGACGTTTAATATTTTGGCATCCATATCTTATTTGTATCCAACATGTCTATATCGCTACTAGTAAGTAAATGGTCGCCCAAAAAGTCTACAATAATCTATACAACAAAGTAATGGCTGATCAACATGTGAGAATTCTCAGTTCCATCTAAATCATCTATGACTTAAATTTGTGATGGCCTTGTGATATCTTAAACCATCCATGGTCTGCGTCCTAGCTCTAATTACCCAATGCTTAAGTATCACACAGAACACCATGCTTGAAAAGAAGCAAATCGAGTACAAAGCATGTTTCAGGAGAAAGTATGGGAAAGACCCCCCAACAAGTATATGCATGGGTTGAGAATAGGCTTGGAGAGAGAAAGGTCATAGTAAATAAATGTCATGCTCTCAGATGGAATTCCGCAGACAGTTTTCAGCGTGTTTTCCCCCATGTTTCACTTGTCACCGTCAGCTGTGAGCCTTTTGCAAGTGTGAAATCGCCTCAGAGAGGACGCAAAGCTGTCATTTGACATCTGGGAGCGTGGATATTGGGTTGTAGTGAAAAGCATTTTGGACTTCTTCAATTTGCACACATATTCACCTACAGTTCTTAAGTCTGAAAAGGATTCAGTGAGCACTTCCAGTGTAGTTTCAAGCACTCTAAAGGTTCCTAAGAGAAGTGAACGTGGAGCACACGCTGACAGAGGAGGCCTCGAGCCTTGCTTAAGGGTGGAAACGGGAACCAAGTGACGATGTTAGTTAGCATAAGGACGATCACGCACACGGTTTGCTCACTTGTCTTAGATGGCATGCTTACTTTTATATACAGTCTTTTCTGTTTTCTACGCTTGCTACCATAGGTTCTATTTTCTTTTTTTTTAGGGTAACTCCAATGTCTATTTTATTGGCAACTTAAAATGCAAAGCACTTTATTTGTAAACCTAACATTTGGGTTAAATAATAATAGTTTCCTGAAGCTGGGGCGCGCACTGCGCGAGGGAAACACGTACAAGTCCCGTGGGCGGACGCTGCAGTGGTGAGGGCCTGTGCTTAGAGGAGCTGATCCATCGACCCCGCGCTAACATCCCTTTTCTTCCCCGCCCCTTAGTAAGGGGTGACAATTCTGGAGATGGTTTGGCCGGTCTTAGGCGGCCGGCTTCATGCCAAACGTCTCCTGGGAGGCGTAGACCATGTACAGGAAGCCGTCCTCATCCCGCTCGCTCTCATACACCTCGGAAATGGGCGTGGACACGCTCACCATGCTGTGGCCGCTGACCAGCAGGAAGAAGGCCTGGTTGGCGTTCAGCTGCAGGCGCCTTCGTATGATTTTGATGAGCTCGCTCATGTTGACGTGATCGGGGACGAGGAACTTGGTTTTATCCAGCACAGGAAGCTGTTTCTCGCCCTTGTATCTCTCTATTATCACCGGGATTTTAGTAGGATGTTGTTCTCGGATAAGCCGGACATCTTCCACTCTTTGTTCGAACGAGCGGCATAGCGCGGGGCGGCGGCGGCGAGGCTACAGTGGCAGCGGCTGCGTCAGGCGGTAGCTCCCATAGGTTCTATTTTCTAGTCCATTTTTTATGATGTAGGTCAAGACAGCTAATAAAGCATATACTCAGAAAAACATATAGTAATAAAAAAACTATTTGGGGGGATTTTTTTTAATTGATGTTTTATGTTAGTCTTCCTTTTGGTAAAAAAGTATCAAATGCCGTAATAAATATATTTATTAAAATATATATCTAATTCTATATTGTAAATTTTAGTAATTGCAATGATAAAATGCATAGAATTTGATGGGTAAAGATTTTATACACAATCAGAAAGAGAGAGAATGAGAAATAAAATCAGAAAAACTAGGAAGAAATTCTCTATCGAGAGGAATAACCATTTCACCTCCATTTTGATTCTGTAATCTACTGCAACACAAGTTAAGGAGATGGGTCTAAAAGTCTCCAAATGAGGTGTCTAGAAGACTCTCCTACTAAGGAAAGCAGACAGTGGTCTACTTCTATTGCCCTGCTACACAATCCTTGCCTAAGCTGGGGCTGGCTTCTTTTGCTTTTTCTCTTCCTGAGTTCTGTTCTGTGTTGCTCTGGCATGAAAGGAACCCATTTACCATGAATGATGTTTCTTTAAAGTAAAACCTTTCTAGAGAATCATGCGAGCTAATCGAAGGATACAAAGTGAGCCTAAAAGGAACGGTTTCGACTCTGAAAGCAGGCCTGGGTTTGATCGGCGAATCCGTATTCTCAAGCCCCTCTCGTGATGGGCCTGCAGCTGCAGCCGTTTATGTGCTGGCTTTTTCACAGATGTAGACAGAGAACGCGCCATGCTTTGTGTCTTTTTGTTGTTGAATCTGTTTTCTTTAATATAAAAAAAAGTGGCAACTTTTCAAAAAGTTCTCAGATGCGCTGTCGAAACTTGTGACTATTTAGACATCCTTGGTAGTGTACGTTGCTGAAACGACTGAGACATTTAAAAAATTCCAAGATCACAAAGTTGGCAGTAGCTATACATAAATAACAGAAGGTGATCATTTGCATCTCAAAATTTATCTGTCTTGCTTTTCCCCTCAATTAGACCAAAACATGTTGATTCACAGGTTTCTGAGTGTGTGAGTGTGTGTGTTTTCTTTATAAAACTTATTTATAGAGCAGAATAATGGCCCCCCTGCTAGCTTGGCATTTGCTCAAATTTCTGTCCATGTAAATCGAAGCTGTTACTGGAAACTTTTCTCAAAATATAAAGGCGCATCAACTGCAAGATAAAAAGATACTTTGCCGATACTCTAAAGCACAGGGCAGGTGGATCATGTTTTTGGGACAAACACGTGATAAGGATTCCCAGGGGAGGAGTGGGAGGGTAGCTGTGTAAGCAGAAGTGAAGCATTATCATCATAATCTTGTGACAACTTTACTTTCTAACCAAACATCGGGGCTCAATATGTTTTAAAGTTACTTGGACAATACTATGAAGGTGAGAAGCAGGAAGTGGACAGGACGGGGAGCCCATGCGCAGAAGGGAATTATGTGGGCTAAAAGGAGGTTAAAAGATAGCTCAATATTCCATGTTCTCCTGTACTGATTTGTGACTGTTTAAACGTGGAATCACTTGCATGTCATCACTGTTGCACCCCTTAGAAAAGGAGAAAGGACTGAGTAGTTTTGTGACACCGTTATGAGACAAACCATAATGTACGGTGTTCTCGTTCGCATCCCTTGCAATACAAGCAGCCGGGTGAGGGTGGGCGATGCTGGCTGAACAGCGCTCTGTAACACTCTAGTCCTAGAATTATCGAAACTAGAACGGCAGCATTACTTTTCAGCTAACACCATCGCTAGTTTTGTTTCACCCTGTTGATAAAACCAATTCCTATGGCGGGCCTTTCCACATTTTTCAATGCATTCATACTAGTACACGTTTGCAACCCAGGAGGCTTGAAAGTACAGTTCTTTTATGCAAATAACTACAACAAAGCCCTTCTTCAGACTACAGCTTTCACCAAATGTTGAAGGGCAGCCTCAAAGAGGACAGCAAAAATCCATTAATGGTAGACTGCCACCTGCTGATGAACTACGAGAAATGCAATTTCGGGGAAAGAGGTCTAAAAATTAAAAATCAGTAACCAATCTGCATCCGATTCATTATTCAAGTACACAAAACTGAAAGTGTGTACCCGTTGATGAATGCTGTGTGGTTTTGTTCTACATATAATGAAGGGATGTCCACGTGCTATGGATGCATTAGTAAGTATGACTATACTGTAAACTGATGAAAAAGAACCTGCAAGAATGCCCATGACTTCAATAAAAATTAAGAATAAGTATAAAGGGGCTTCAAAACACTTGTGAGAAAATGGAATTAAAAGATAACGATATTTTCCCATCAAAGTTCCTATACAATAGTCACTAAACATTTGATTTTGCTATGGGAATTATACTCAGGATTTAAGTAAGTTTTACTCAAAAGAATTCCTAAATTTAATTTTCATCCTAAAGCCTCAAAATTCATTACATTATATATAAATGTATATGCATAGGTTCCCCCAAAATATTATTTATCAAATTATAAAGGGGGGAGATAGGTAAGAATTGAAACATAACTATAATAAAAGATTTCTCTACAAAGGTATTTCTTACTAAATCAGACTAATAACGTTCCCAAAACACCGTCAAAAAAAGTATCGCTTTGAGAGAAACCAAAGACTTTATGCATGCTCTAAGGCACCCAAGAAGGAATGAAATCAAACAGTCTTAATTTGGAGGAAGGCGAAGGGCAGGGAAAAAGAAGGAAATCCAAACTGCTGTTCGGAAAGTTTCAGGACAATTACTCTGAGGTTAAAAAACCTTTGCTGTTTCCCTGATACAGAAATGTTTGGAAAAATTTAGGCTGTAGCTAAAACTATAATTTCTCACTACCCAGGAGAACAAATAATATTCTGATTAGATGCTGTGAAGCACCATAGAGTCAGTTTGGGCTCATAGCAATCCTATGTACAGCAGAACCAGGCCCTTGCTCAATCCCGTGTCATCCCCACAACGGTGGCTAGGTTTTGAGACCATTGTTGAAGCCACAGTGTCAATGCATTTCATGGAGGCTCTTCCTCTTGGACTCTGACCAATCTTACACCAATCATGATATCCTTCTCCAGGAGGTCCTTCCTGATGACATGTCCAAAGCACATGTGATGAAGTCTTGTCATCTTCCCTCACTATGGTGGTTGGATAGTAAACATTAAAAACCACATTGATGACCAATCAAAGCAACCAAGTCAACATAATCAGCATGACAGTCTCTGAAGGTCAGTGGGGGCGATGAATGAAGTAACTTTAGTCACCCAATGTCACTACATGTTGGCCAAAGATGAAGGAACTTTGGACTTAAATAGGTAGGGAAAAAAACCCCAACTCAAATCCAATTCATATGTAATCATGAACAAGGAGGCGAACACAACCCGAAATTAATCTCTAGTTTAAAAAAAAAAAGACAGTAGTGTAAGGGCAAAAGAAACCTGTTGTATCGAATGGGTAAGAAGACCATCTGAAAAGTAAAGCATGCTTCCTAAACATTCTCAAACTCAGATCATGGCTTATCACTTTAGTTGTGAAAATGGCGCACACACACACATGCACACACACACATTTTAAACATTTTTTAACTGAGCAATTTTTCCCTTTGTCAGCTACCTCTCACATGGCCATAAAAAGCAATCATTTGAAGAGGTTCGAGATCTAGTCTTTCTAAACACCAAGAAGTTAAGATATTTCCAGTAAGTTCTGGGCAGTTTTAAGTGAAGCATAACCCCATTTAATAACAGCAGAGACGTATGTATGTGCCACATACACACACACACATAGACATGCTTATGCTTGTGGGTTAGCAAATGGTCTCATCTCTGGCTTTTCTGTTCGAGGGTGAAAGAGACAAGTAAACACCACCACCACCACCACCACCCCACCCTCTGTGAAGTGCTGGTGAGAAGTACAACTTCTACAAAGAGGGGAGAGCTGCCCAACTACTTTTTCACACGAAACCCGGAAGAAGATGCTCTAACCTGGGGCGCAGTACATTCTCTCTATGGCATCGCTGTCACAGGAATCTTCAACCTCACTCCACCTGCTAAAATACGTTAGCTGGATGTGTCCTAAAAACAAAACGACAGGAGAAATCAAAACATTTTTCTCTTCCATTTTCTGCAGAAGTGAACTGTAATTACTCCTTTTGTAGCTAAAAACAGTATCATTAAGAATAATGGCATCATTAAGTACTAGAAGCTATTACTGGGGGTGAATTTGCTGCACTGATAATGAAGCTCTAGACAGGAAATGAAGATACTAATTACAAGATAAAACGCCTACTCAGTTAATTGGAAGCAACAGCGAATAAAAAGAAATGCATTTGCAAAAGTTCCTGACCTCTATCATTCAATAAGATGTTGTTTGGGTTCAAATCACGGCACACAATTCCCTCTCTATGTAAAGCATCAAGGGCTACCACCATTTCAGCTGCCCATCTTTGAATGCAGTCCTCTGGGAGATAAAACCTGGAGGTAAGGACTAATTTTTTATCGAGGTCCTCAAAAATCTGGTGTATTTCCTTGTCTCCTTCTAGCGCTAACTCGCTCTCTCCCTTGGTCTCAGAGTCTCTCTGGAATAAAGACGTCGGCTCCTCTTTAGTGAAATCATCAGCTTGATCTATAAACAGCAATACTTCTTCTGGTTTTAAAGTGTCTGCGTTTGCATTATATTTATTAGCACCTGAGAGTGGGTTAGAAATATCGAATAAACTTTCTCCTGTGTTGTTGGCTGTTAGTGCTGACCCAATCTCGCCAAGTCCTTCAAGTGCAGGGTCTGAGCTGTGTAACAAAGACTCGTCTCCTGAACGGCCAGGATCAGCAGTTGCTATAAATAACATCCCAAGATCCTTCTGGGCATAGTGTTTCTCTGTCATACTCCGGGCTTTGGGTCTGTGGGGGTCACTCAATTCCTCTATGCCTGCTTCTTCATGAGGATGGCACTGTTCAGTACTAAGCCGGAGGCATAAAACATCGGGGGCTTCCAAGAGTTTACTTTCTAGAACGCCGATGTTAGTCTCAGTAGGTCCCATGGCTGCAGCTTCCTTTGTTGACTCTAGTTCACCAGGAAGATTTACAAGAAGATCAGGCCTTCCTTCATCGGCACCACTGACATCATCAAAAGCAGCATCTCTGAAAGAAATAACTGGGACGGAGTCATTTGAGCCCCGGCTGACGGTGTCCTGAGCGTTTATCTTTCCCTTGCTCTCAACAGCGTCAAAGCTCCTGGAAGGGCTGTCTGCTTCAGAGAGAGCAAAGAACGGTTTCAAAGGTTCTGATCTGAGGCTATACAATTTTTCTCCAAAATCAACTCCCAGAAGTTCACTCGTGCTATCCTTACTGTCGATCCTAAAGAACTCCATGGGGCTATTTTTAGATCTGCTGAGGGAATCCGATGTTCTTGGAGAACTACCTGCTTCTGGGTTATCATCTTCCGGGAGAAGCTTCAAGTCGTGAGACATCAGCTGTGGGCTGGGGCTCTTGTAGTCAGCAGCAAGGGGTGCTGGGAAGCGGTCAGCAGCCTTGGCGTCTTCAGGCTTCATACAGGACTCCTCATTCAAAGAGCCTGGGTCGACCTTTTCTTGTCCGTATTCATTGCATAATGTTAAGTAACTGGTGGTGCATTCTTCTTGGGAACTTGAGTCAGAGTCTGGCCATCTCGGAGAGCTCTCCTGAACATCATCTTCCTGGTTGCTATCATCCTGAGAGCTTGGGGTCAGACTAGTTTTCAAAGGGAGCACTTGAAGCATGCCTCCACCGTCACTGCCTCTGGATTCAAAACTGCTGCTGTCCTGCAGACTAGAAGTTGGCTCCTGCAGGTGAACTTTAGGAAGCGTGGATTTTTTCACTTCTTGGATGTCGAAACTTTCTTCGGGACTTCTGTTTAGAAACTTACTGATGTACGACCAAAGTTTGCCACCTGTGAACAAGGACAAAAAAGAAAGGGGAGAGGGGAAAAAAAACAACCTTAATTTCCCCCAAATAATGGTTACTTATTTAAGTCAGGATTATCTTAATATCCAATAAAAAGTATAATAATAATACTTATTAATGATATCAAAAGTGATGTAAGAAAAGCACACGAAAGGGCCAAAAGCTCATGGGAAAAATGATATTAAAAGATAATGGAATTTTTCCATGAGCATTTTAAAGTTACCTCATATTTAATAAAATGCCTTGGTTTTTGGTTTTTGTTTTTTTGGTCATTGAAAACTGTTAAGTATGGGTTCAATCAGATCTCCTGAGATTAATTATTTCCAAATGACAACCTATTTCTTCATTTGAAAGGAAACTGGTTATAAAAAATGCTGGTATGAAATCTCACAGCAGAGATTCTGCTTTAAAGTTAAATATAATCTCACATAGAAACATTTGATTATGTTCAGATGTGTTTATATAATTTTTTCAAGCATAGCCCCAGTCAAGTGGAAATACATAAATAAGTACTGTTTAAAACTGTATATTGCAGTAGGGAGGAAAAATCAACAATATAATTCAATTTAAAAAATGTCCAGTTGAGGACTGGGGAAGAGGTATGCCATCTGGTATATAATTCCATGCCTTCATAAATGGCATTAATGATTTTCCCCTTTTTCTCTCCTCCTTCAGACACATCATGTGTTATATAAAACCAAGTAACGCCTATTAATGAGGCAAACTACTATTAATACATATTAAAAACCTAAGAAAACCAAAAGCATAGAGATCAATCCACATAAATAAACCAGCTTTTCACCAGAAATACTTACTACACAGTTTTTCTCACATTTTCCATACTTTTGTTTTTGTTTAAAATCTCAAATCCCTCAAATCATTAAAATCTTTAAATAAATAAGCTGTACTATGTACCAAGGGCATACTACAGCTCTAGTGACTAGAAACAGTTAACAAGAAGGACATCATCCAGAAATTTTCAAAGCAATAACTGAAAAAACGTACTTGGTGAAAGTATGATTGTCCAAAAAAACCAAACAACTCAAACTTACTGTCATTGAGTTGATTGCAACTCACTATAGGACAGAGTAGACCTGCCCCTGTGGGTTTCCAAGACTTTTAAATCTTTATAGGAGTACATAGCCTATCTTTCTCCTGTGGAGCTGCTGCTAGTGGTTTTGAACTGTAGACTTTTAGGTTAGAAGCCAAACATGTAATCCACGACACATTGAACTGCTAACCACAAAGTCAGTGGTTTGAACCCAACAGCAGCTCCATGGGAGAAAGAGAAGGCTATTTACTCCCATAAGGATTTACCGTCTCCAAAACCTACAGGGCAGGTTGTACTTTGTCTGAGAGGTCGCCCTGAGTTGGAATTAACTTCATCCATGGCAGTGAGTGTGGTTTGCTTTGAGTTTGTTTGTTTGTTTGTTTTGAATGGGGCGGCGGGGGCGGGGGGGGGGTGTATAATTGTAGCTTCAAAAAAAGGGAAACTAAGAGTAAGGTGTGGAGAATAAATTACTTTATAGAGTCTGTTCTCCTAAATAAATACCTACCACATAAATGATAAGCAGTCCACATGTTCAAAGGGTCAAAACACTGTTTAGTTCTTCCCTATTTCTGTGGGGTACTCGGTTACATTCAATGCTCAAGTGCAGCTAAAGACACAAAACTTTTGGAGGCCATGCTGAAACTGCTCAAGCGGCATCACAGCACAACACAAGCCTCACCAAGGGGCACGTGACGTCTGTATGGGATGCGCTGGGAATCAAACCCAAGTCTCCTGCCACCGATCCACCACTCCCCCTCACTAGTCAGGGGTAATACTTAAATTTAATATGCATGGCACATGTGGTATTGCTAGGACAACCATCAAAATCACCTTTGAACCCAGAAATTCCACTTCAGGAAATTTGTCCTACAAATATATATATATAAAATCAGTTTATTGGGGGCTTAAATATTTCCTAAGACAAAACTGAAAAGTAAAGCGATGCCTATGTGCATGTGCGGAAGACCATGTAAATACCTGTTAGGCAAAGTAACTGATTAGATTATGAGCTATTTATACAAATACTTTGTTCAAAAACACTAACAATAATATTTAAAAATACTTAACACTGCTTACCGTGTACCAGTCATTATTTTAAGGGCTTTACATATATCAGCTCATTTAATCATGGAGTCTGGCTCCAGAATCAATTCTCTTAATCACTTCATTATAAGCCCTATTTTCATGCAGACCTATATGTATGGCTAAACAAAGGTATCTAAGGTTCACTGCCAAGACTGGCCCCTGAAACTGGAGAACACCAAATAAGACCCATTTACATCTCTGAAGAAAAAAAAACCCAGATAGACAGGAAGCATACATTAACATGCCTATGAGGTTTTTGGAAGATATACAACAAACTGTGTAAAGAGTGCATATCTTTCAGGAGTAGAACTGGCAATCAAGAGGGATAATTTTCCTTCTCACCTTATACCTGTCTAGATGGTTTGGATGCATTTGTTTATATATTAATTTTACAATAATAAAATAGTTAATATAAAGAAAATCACTTTACCCTGTGGGCCCCTAAATAACTTGGTGATGAATTCTACTATACCCCTTCAGATGTTTCTCCAACCTTGTTCTTTCAGACTGATCTTTCATCATTTCTCTCACAGACTCAGGAGTCAACAACTACACACACAATATCTCCAGTGTGCCAAGCACTCTGATAAATGACACATGTATGATAAATATGATGTAATCCCTAACCTCAGGAACTTAAACGTTTTAATTAGACCAATGGTCAACTGAATACATTTAATTTCCCCACCACCACCACCACCACCTTTTCTTCAAATAAATTTAAATTATATGATTTACAACTGGGACAATAAACATTTCAAATCTCTTTACCTTGTCTGATGTATCCAATTGCCTATGTGACCCCACCTAGATATTTAATAAACGGCTCAATTTCTACTCAATGAACCGTTCTTCCAAGTTTTCCCCATCTTAGTAAACGGGGGCTCCATTCTGTTCAATGTGTGTCAAACATTTTAGAGTCATTATTAAAGGCAGAACCATGACAGTTCAACCTTCAAAATATATTCATAATCTAATAACTATTTCTCACCAATTCCACCACAAGAATCATGTCTAAGCCACTCTCCTTTCACCTAGATTGCTGCAGCAAATTCCAAAGTGGTCTCCCTGCTTTTACCTTTACACTCCTATATGTTATTGTCCACAAGGCAGTCTCTCACTGTCATTGAGACAGTGAGACCCTATAGGACAGGGTAGAAACTGTCCCTGTGGTCACGGAGATTGTCATTCTTTACAAAAGTAAAAAGTTGTTTCTTTCTCCTTTGGAGTGATTGGTGGGTTCAAACTGCTGACCTTGCAGCTAGCAGCCCCAAGTGTAACCACTACTCCACCAGGGCTTCTTATAAAATAACCAGTGAACCCGAATCTTTTTACAGTTCTGTTCAATACCTTCACATTCCATTTAAACGAAAAAATCGAGTTATTTCAATGGCCTAGAAGACCACCCAGGACTTGCCCACCTGGGTGCCCATTTCTCCAGCTCATTTCCTGCTGCTCTTCCCACTCTGTTTCTGCCATACTGGCCAGGACATCATTCTAGATAGTTCCCTCCCTAATTCCATATTCATCATAAAACAAAAGAAACTGTTGCTGCCCAATCAGTTCTGGTTCACAGGCACTCTCTAGGAGAGTGCCCACCTCACAGAGTTTCCAAGGGTGCCATCTTTACAGGAGCAGACAGCTTTCTCCCACAAAACAGCTGGTGGATTTGAACCACCAACCTTTCAGTTAAACAGCTGCATGCTTAACTACTGTACCATGCCACCAGGGCTGCTTCAAATCCATCAAGTTGTTGTAAGTGTCATGGAGTCATTTCTGCTTCAAAGTGACCCTTGTATAGCAGAACAACAAAAACCTATCATAAATAAGTTCCATTAACTCTACCTTCAAAATACATTCACTAAAGCAGGCTCTGGGTTTTGCAAACCAGTTAACATGCTCATCTGCTAACCAAAGGCTGGGAGTTTCATCCAGGGCACCTCAGCAGTAAGGTTTGGTGACCTTCTTCTTTCAGTGGTTTGTTGTTGTTGCTGTTTTGTTGTACATTGTTGCTTGGTTTTGCTCTGTCTTGTTTTTGTGCATGTTATTATCTCCGCAAGTCTATCTAAATAAGATAGGCTGGATGAACAATGTGGAGGAGAAAACAACAGGACCGACAGTTCCGGTGGGACATGGGAGAGGGGGAGGTGGGGGGAAAGGAAGTGGTGTTAACAAACCCAGGGACAAGGGAACAACAAGTGATTCAAATCGGTGGTGAGGTGAGTGTGGGAGGC